GCTAGACCTTCGAGTTTTTCTTGCTTTGGCATTATCTTCCTCTTTCTATAAGGGTTCTTAGTTTCTTCAAGTTTTTCCACAAGGTTACTTGGCGTTTCATTCTTAGGTTTTGATAACCTTTCGAAAACAGAGCTTTGGGGTGTTGGCGTGTTAAGCCTTTTGAAGACGGAGGTTCGATCTTGACCACCAATGCGATCAAGTGACAAAATTCTGGGTTTTGAACGATTCACCCTATCGAAGACTAACGTTCGAGGGGCGGGTTTAGGCTCTTCTTGATTTTGTTCAATGCTCACGCTGATGTGTTGAGCGCTAACATTTTTCGCTTTGCTTGAAATCTTCATGGGTGTATTTGGTGTGAAGCCAACTCCAGCTTTGTTGTTGTCAACTTCGTAACCATGCTCCTTCAACTTCTTCTTAGTCTCGGTGAGGTCACGTTCTTTGTCATTGACGGTGTTTGCATTCTTCTTTCCAAGATTTGAAAAGGAGACAAAATCGTACCCAGCCTTTGACATGAGTTTGTAGGCGTTTGGGTCGAAACCTTCTTCGGTTCTCTTGGTTGGAAGAGAGCTTGGTTCTACCCCCTTTGGCAGGGGTTTTACGAAACCTTGTGGTGGTTTTGAAACTTTGACGTTGCCTAGCTATGTCAGAGGTAAAATTGCATTTGTGTTAAGCAGCTTTACATCGTCCTTATGCAACTATGTGTTAGCTTTGCTTGTTCCAGTTTCGAATGAAGATTGCTATTTTTTCTTCTCGACGTTGGGATCTATCAGAAGATGGGTGTGTTTGGTCCTTTTGAGGGCATCACACTCCCTTTGATTGTTGTGGGCTTAGTATGCTCATCATCATTTTCGCTTGAAGATGGCACAGTTTCCCCTTCTTGTTTCTTGGGCACGGCTTGCCACTGTTGTTCCTTAGGTGTGGCTTTGCTTGTGGATTTGATTTCTTTTGGAAGAGCTTCGGGCACCATGTCTTCATCCATGTAGAACTTGGCATCCGCGAAGTGTGATTCCGCTTTGGTGAATGGCTTGGTGTCACCTTGTATCACCTTTACTCCTTCTCGGTAGAACTTTAAGTATTGATGAAGGATGGATGGCTCTACCCCATTCTCATGGATCCAAGGCCTTCCTAAGAGCAAGCTGTTGGAAGTTCTTGCATCAATCATGTGGAATAGCGTGCTTGATTTGAGTTTGCCAATGGTCATCTCCACTCGAATCATGCCCATCGCTCTTTGTCCTCCTTGGTTAAAATCTTGGATTAGAAGGCGACTTTGGGATAGTTCATCTACCTTGATGCCAATTGTGGTCATTGTTAACTTTGGCATGATGTTTATGGTTAACCCACCATCAACAAGCATGCAGTTGATTTTGTTCTCTCTCACGTACCCAGAGACAAAGAGAAGACGATTGTGAGGCTTTGACCTTAGCAGTAAGTCTTCGTCAGTGAAGTTAATTGCGTCATGGGTGGCACCACATGTGGCATATTCATGTGGTCGAAGCTTCAAGCCTTCATCCTTGCTTTCTTGCACGTCGTGATCGTCGAGACTCACCAAGACTGCTACTATTGCTTTTCGCATCTCCTTGGGCAATCGTAGTGCTTTCTCAATGCTAAAGTGTGCCAACAGGCTTTCTTTGGGTGTGAGGGTCTTCTCCTCCTCGATGGCGATAGCTTTACGTTTTGAGGGCTCTTCTATCTAAACTTCAACCATGTGACAGGTAGCAGTAGTGCACTATTGGAAGAATTCATTTGGGAAGTACTCATGCAAGGAGACGGGAATGCGCAGCTCTTACTTCCTAGGCTCCCCTACGTACGTTGGCTTAGCAGCTCTTACGCTTCTTTTAGGCTTCCTATTATTGCGGCGGTGATGCTTTCTCCATTGTTCCACCTTTGGCCATATGGCTTGTAGTCTTGGCTTCCTTGCTTTTTTGTAGGTCACCAGTGTCCACCCTTCTTCAGTGTCAAGTTCAATTTGCCTTTGTTGTGCCAGCTTCATGATGAGCTCCTTGAGGACGAAGCACTTGCCAACAAAATGACTCATGATACAATGGTATTTGCAGTACCTAGGATCGTTAACGCAATTCATCTCTTCGGGGCGCTTACATTCAGGTAACTCGATCACTTTCTTTTCCATCAAGTCGTCTAACATTGAAGCCATCTCAGAGTCAGGAAAAGGGTATGTCTTCTGCTCCAGCTCCCTCAACGTATTTTTGGTCCTGTCTTAAGTGCGAGAAGGCTCACCTCTCTTCATCTCCTTCTTTTTGTTTTTGGAGGAGATCTTGACGGACACATAGGAGGTCTTGATAGGAGTAGTGTTGACGGTAAAAGCTTCCTTGGCGGGCTTCTTCCCAGTCTTGTCTACCTTTGGAGCAAACACCTTATCCTTCTTGAAGTCCGTGATTGGCTCTTTTTTCCCATGATTAGCAATACTCAGCTCTATGTCATGGGACCGAGTTGCCAACTCCTCAAACGTTCTCGGCTTTATGCCTTGGAGGATTTAATGTAACACCCAGTGCATGCCTTGAACTCACATCTCAATGGTGGAGGTTTCAGAAAGTCGATCTTTGCAATCCAAACTTAATGAACGCCATCTATTAATGTAGTCAACGACAGGTTCGTCCTTCCACTGCTTTGTACTCTTCAACTCCAGCATGCTTATGGTGTGGCGAGTGTTGTAGAAGCGGTTGAGGAATTCCCTTTCAAGCTAATCCCAATTGTTGATGTACTCAGGCTCGAGGTTAGTATACCAATCAAAAGTGTTACCTTTTAGTGAGCACACAAACTGCTTAACGAGGTAGTTTCCCTCTATCCCAGCATTGTTGCAAGTTTTGATGAAATGGGCAATATGTTGTTTGGGATTGCCTTTTCCATTGAATTGCATGAATTTTGGCGGCTGATAAACCCTTGGCATCCTCAAGGCGTCAATCTTTTTAGTAAGGTTTTGAATACAACACTGAGTCATGTGAGCTTCCTTCGTATTGCACCTCGATGGTGCTTGTGATCATCTGTTGCAGCTGTTGGAAAGAAAGAGATCTCATAAGCGTCGCAGCTTTGTCCACCTCCAACTTCTCCTCAGCTTTCTCCACCAGAGGCTTCTCTTTCTCGTCAATTTCCTCCTTTGGCGAATCAACCTTTAGGTCAGCTTTCTCATTGTGTTGTGCCTCCAGACGGTTGACGAGTGTAGCGGTCTGCAAGTCATTTTCCTCTACGGTCTTTGTCAGCTTTACAATTGCTTCGTTCATTTGGGCCAACTGCTCCTCGATAGACGTCGCACCAGTAGTCATAACTTGCATGGCTACAGGATACAAGCTGCTGCTTGAGTCAGCATTAGAAGTCAACGACTAGGAATGCCTCCTCGAGTTGTGACACCCAAAGTACCACCACCTGCGGCAATGATGTTCTTGTTCTTCATATTGATTGTGGCAACAACTTGATCCTTTCTTGATGCCATGTGTGTTTCTTATGGATTTGAAGACAAAGATGAGAGGTAGAAAGGTCCCACCGAGCTTGCCAAATTTGTAATCACAAAAATTCTGTAACGAATGCAATGAGAACACGTGTCCAAAGTAGATTTGTATTGATGAATTTGTAGGGTTACAATCTCTATTTACAATTTTCCTTTGATTCAGTCTTCAAATTTGATGTAGATGGTTGATTATTAATCCAAGGATCGCGATGACTTGATCTCAGACGAATGATTAAACGATTTACTTTGGTCAAAAGAAAGTTTCAGTTTTGGTCAAAATAAAGTTTCAGTTTTGGTTGTGCGTTCTTTGAAGAGAGCTTTGGTAGCATATTAGTCTTCAAAGATTTGGCAAAGGTTCTCCTTTTATGAGAATTTCGGCCCTTCAATGTAGAAATTGTCGACCCTTTATTTGTCCTGGGACCTTGTATTTATAGACTTCCAAAGCCATGTCTTTAGGTGGATTTGGCTTTGAATTGTCTCTTGTTTCAACCATTTTCCTTCCTTAGCCGATAGGGCTTTCTTGCTTATTTTGTGAGCAATCTTTAATTCTTGCTTGTTTTGTGAAGATGTTTTAGCTTTCTTTCCTGTTTTGGGAGCAATTTGGGCCCCTTGCCGATTTTAAGGAGATTTCTTCCCCTTTGCCACCTTTTATGAATGCTTTTAAGCTTCCTTTACTTAATTTGTGCCACATGTCATTGATTACTTGTCCATTTGTGATGAGTCATATGCCACATGGAGCTTTGTGATGCATCATTTGTATGCAACGAAATTTACATGTCTACACCACCACCTGTAAGTTTAAATATAGCGGAAACAAACGAACTTAACATATCCAAATAATCACTGACCTTGCGAAGTCATTGCTGCAGAAAATAAAGGTTCTTCTCCTCTCAACACTATCTATATGCACTATCAATCAATGGGGCTTGATCTTTCTGTTTGCGTGTATTTGCGACAGCAGGGATCCTTTATTTATAATGTAAACAGTGGTCTTTGACAAGGATACTTCCCATCATGTAATCCTTATCAAAGTCATCAGCTTTGATAATCCTTATTACTAATATCCAAAGCATCCATATCAGAATGGTTAACACCAATTGCACCGGTACTTCTTTAGGTTATATCTTAGTCTTTGTACATTCCTTAATAACCAACAAGTATTGTCATACATAAACTCTTATGATCTCAATCCCTCATGCATGTGCTAAACAAGTGTGCAGCTCTCATTTACACCACCCTCTTAGGTCTTTCTCTTAATTTGTTCTAAATATTTGTACTTGGTTTAGATTGAGGCTGTTGGTTATGTGCAATGCACTGCGGGCTCAACCAGTTCGTTTCGTTATGATCACAAAATGTTAAATAGGAGACATTATAGATGCATTACAAAAGCATGTGAGAAATTTTGTAAATTTGGACGAGGTGTTGAAAGAAATAAAAACCAAGAAGATGAATAAAACATCGTTTCATGAATTTCTGTGAGTATCATAACAACACTGAAAGATTATTATTGAACTAGATATACCCATATGAGAAATAATCATTAATTCATCATGGTCTTCTCTTCCCCCTTTCTCTCAAGCCTGCCACTGATTATATGATAGCTAGAGGCAGGCAATTCACTCAGCTTCCCAAATTTGCCTTCGTATGAATCCAAGAGCTCCGACCTGAAACACCAAATCGTGGGGTTTTACATTTATTGGAAAATAAGAACATTTTTAAGACATATTACATACGCCACTCACGACAAAAGCTTATTTTATCTTTTTTTTTTTTAATTTAAACAAACCAATAATAAAAACAAATAAAAAGAAAAATTCATAATAAACCCAAAATAACTAATTATAAAATAAAATAATAATAATAAAACCAATTAATCAAATACTAATAACTAACATAAAAATTTGGGTTTTTACATACTTAATAGTCAACATTCACAATTAGACAGCCTAATTAAGCATCTTGTATGCTACATTATATCTATATGTATGGTTTATGCATACACTTACAAATATGCCAGGCACTGGAACGGTGCATACTTATCATAAATTTCTTCCGCATCTTTTCCGGCGCTTGTTTTGTCACAATCCTTCCTCCCATGAACCTGAAAAAAAGAATGATTCGTTAATTTAAGATAAAAGAAAAAAAGAGGTAACTAACGGGATGGCTAGCTACTGCAAGAGAGTGTGTGTGTGTGTGTGTGTGTGTGTGTGTGTGTATGCAAGTAACTAGCCTGCTGTAGGTGCCTTATAGTTTCAGTATCTGTTGGCACTTTATGATAATATCCCATGCACATGAGTGCATTGGCGCATGAAAACGAACCAAACCCTTTGATTTCCTTCAACTTTTGAAACATGTCGTTGAAGCCGATGTTGAGGGATTCTTGAAACCCTAGTTCATCATCAAGTCGCATGATCTTGGCAAGTTTCAGAATGGTGTTCGCTCTGTAGCCAAGAACGCTAGTACTGCAGTTTTGTAAAGTATCCAGATCAAGTCCTGCAAGTTCTTGTGCGTTTGGAAAGTTCCCAAATGAAGATCCATCGTCACTGAATTGATGGTTAAGTTTGCATGGCGACCATGTGTTAGATAACATTTCTTTTTTTCTCTTTAGGTTGATTGGCTGCTTTTGCTTTGCCGGAGCATTATTGTTATTGCATACTTGAGTGTGAAGCTCACAAAGGGATCGAGCCATTTGTAATGTATTTGACCACCTACGCACATATTGCCAATTGGGGATTGAAAAAATTAGTCATGCAATTACGAAAATCACGTATAAAATTTCACTCCAACACCAGACTTTGAAATACACACACACACGCATATATATATATATATATATATATATATATATATATATATGTTTCTTTTGCAAAAGTGTTTTTAAGTTTCACTGTTGTCTGAATGACAAGTTTGAACAAAATTATTATAGTAACTCTATTGTTAGCTTTGTTCAAATTCACAACTCTTTACTGTAGTTATAGTCATTGTATTAAAATAAAATAAATTAGTTCAGTAACATGTGTCGGATTGGACACATGGAAAGATTTCTTATGTGCTCGTAATACAAGTTAGTAGACCATGTGTCATAATATAAGTGGAAAAAAAAAATTGTTAGTGACTCTCCAATGTGTTATTACATTTTAAGGGAGGTGGATAGGGTAGAGAACTCAAAACTTGAAAATCAAACTCAAAACTTGCGAAAACAAACTCAAAACTTGCAAAAACAAACTCAAAACTCTCAAACCCTAAACCCTACATGATCATAGTATATATTATGAGAATATATGTAGTAGTGGATTAATATTACTTGGTGTTACAGAGGAGGATACACTTGACAAGGTCTTCAAAGAGAGTAGGGGACCGGAAAACTCGACCACAGCCCTTCTCCTTCGCTTCCGGATGCACTTCGTGATACTCCCTTATGGCCCTTTCATCTTTCTTCGATATCCTTAGCATTCGACGCACTTGTTGCAGTATAGCATCCTTATCTGCAAATGAGAGGTTATGAATGTGATCATAGACTTGAATAAGGAGAGAGGTGTGATTAGGAGGATGTTGGATTGAAACGGTGACGCATGTGGTGGAGTCTGCAAGTCTTAGCGGGCGTTCGAGTGTTTTTGAGGACGGAACCCATCGGTTTGGAGCCATCATGAAGAAACCGTGGTTGCATACTGCTTTCTCTAGGTTAAAAGTGGACATACATTCTCCCAAAGGCAACGACAATTCTTCCACTCTCACGTTTTTCCTACTTCTTGTATGCATATTCAAACAAGTATAACTTACAAGAGGATGGATGTACCCTAGCTTAGCTTGGTCTGGGCCGCGTGTATATATATATATATAATATGAAGTTAAGAAGGATAGAATAAATTTGGGGGGAAAGAAGAAAATAGTAAATAGGAAGAAAAGAGAATTAAATGTCGGTATTAATGGCATGGAAGATAGGCAGGCAATGTATGATGTACCATTGTATCAAACCAGAAGTTATTAGTCCTAGGTAGGATTGCTTCTCCCTTACTCCTTCATCTCCCCTTGATTCTTTAATAAAGGAAAGGGTGACCATATTAAATGAAATGAACGAATGAATGGTATATATCATCATAATTAAGGAGGGAACATAATACTAGTCGGAGTCCGAGTCGGATCGGAGTCGATGGAATTTAGAAGCAGTAGTTGGAGTTGGACTTAGGGTTATCCCTCCCTAAATCTTAAATCCTAAACCCTAAACCCTAAACCCTTGACGGTGGTCAGTAATACAATTTTAACCAATTTTGTTTGAAGATAATTCGGTAATTCCAAATAAAATATTATGTACTAAGATATATTTTTTTGGCTTGTATGTGAGACGTGATTGGTTTTCTGAGAAGATGAGTGCTTCTGCCTTCCTTGTGGGGCTCAAGATAATATTCACAGCTAGGACTGTGGACCAGTTGAGATTACAATATTTCTAGGTGAAGGGAAATCTATGAGATTCATGTATGGGATTTCTAAATGACTATCATGCATATACAAATTAAATTTAATATACGAAAGCAGCGGAAGCATTTATAACAAATTATCAAAGTTATAGTCATGCAAATCCCCTTCAAGGTTCATAGGTTTATATATATAATGCATCAAATAAAATTTAGAGAAAAAGAACAAAGTGAAGGTTTAGTCTTATACCTCTTGCTCTAGACTTGAGACCAAGGATTGACCACCTCCAAACCCTTTGTTCCTTGAACTCCTTGAGCCTAGCTTCCCTCCTTGCCTCCTCCACTTTGTTAGAATGAGTGCTCCTAGGTTCTCTTCAAGTTTCCAAAGTAGGAAACCTCTAAAGATCCTCACCCACTAGTGTAGTGAGAAGGATGAAGGAATAACCAAAAGGGTGAAAGATGTGTTAGTAAAAACACCCCTAAGGTGGCCGGCCTTTCTAAATTAATTACAACACTTAATTAATCCAATTAATTATTTCCATCATCCATTAGTTACTCACTACAATAGTGTATTGGTGAACAATCTTTTAGGTTCTAATTAGCAAGGCAGTGAGGTGATTGGCATCAATCCAATTGATTATATTTAATTCAATCACTTAGTGAATTAAAACTTCTTTGACGACTACATTTAATCATCTAGAAGAACTCACAAGCTATGAGTGACATCTAACCATATGTCATAGCTACCCAAGCTAATGTAGAAGTTTATTCGGAGAACCTATTCAGTTGGAATTACAATGTAATTCAATCATTCTCTAAAACAATACTCTCAATCACATTACTAGGGTATGGATATATTATGTCAAACCCCTAATGTGATTATTCCTTCTTATATGATTCAATTGAGTCGTATAGGAACGCTTTCCTTTATTACGCTCGATACTTCGGCCGAAGATTCCCGAATCATATCTTAGAGTATTCTTCCTCTCTTATCGAGGATTAGAGATTCCTTGTTGCGCATACACTTGCCTTCATGACTAAGTGGCTTAACCCCAACTATGCCGTTGACATTCTGATAGAGTGACTTTGACATAATCAAAGATCAAGTACTTAACCACAAGACAACGACGATGCCTCAGGTCAAAGGACTACTTACATTATTCCAACCTTTAGAGTTACTTGCTTGACATGTGAGTAGACCTCCATGCAAGTACTCTCGTTCGATTGTGTTCAGTGAACTCATTCCCTTAATGAGCACCTACATACTTGTCTTAGTGTCACAACACGAATGGGATGAGACTTTCCATCCTTCCAATTGAAGGGGACACAGTATGTACCGGTCTACGCATTGTCAGTATCCCTCCGACAATCCAATGACCAGGAACCTTTTGGACATTTGGTTATGTGAAGAAGGTCTCTGTAGTCTAACATCATTAGATTACTTCTTCAATCGATCCATTGTCCATGGATACACTATTTAGAACATATATCGTTTATTGAGATAGTCCTAATTAGTATCTTTGCCATTTGATGTATAAGATTCATCCATACATCGATTCAATTGTCCTGAAAGGTTTCTTCCAAAGATTGACTTTCAGGGCATATTTCCAACACTAGGTGATTTGGTACTCACGCTATCAACTCTACAACATTACGTGGCGTCCAAGCATATTATTTAATTAACTAATTAGCTCTATAAATACAGGATATTATATATGCCACTGGAAACAATCACATCATATCAAATTAAATCAAATCAAATCTCTCAAGATCTACTAACCCGACTGAGATCGAGTTGAAGGCTTGTAATAAAACGATTGACAATAAGTTCATTGTCACACACACACAACCCGACCTCTCTGTCAACTTCCACGAGCCCTAAACCTTAAACCTTAAACCCTAAACCCTAAACCCTAAACCCTCAACCCGGTATTGCACATTATTACAGCGAACCAAAGGAGCCAACCAAACCCGACCAGGTCGGTCTTAAGTTTGTTTTCATTATATTTGATATTTCAGGCAAGATTCATCCTTGCTTTGGCGTACTAATGGTTATAGTGACCATCTGAGGGCATCTTTGCTCCCTCTCTATTCCGTCCCGTCCTGTCCCGTCCCGTCTTGTCCCGTTCCGTCCCGTCTGCATACCAAACGATACCTTACAGTACAAGAGTAACAAACTCTTTCTGCATCCATCATTAGCTCATATATGATATCGGATCAACAGATAATCCATCATCTTTTCTTAAACAGCACTGTAACATCAATAATCAATCAATCATCATCACAATACGTAGATGTAGACGAGGGTCCATTTAAACATGTCTCCACCAAACACATGTTTGTGTAACAAAAAAATAAAAAAATAAAAAAATATCATGTGGAAACTTGCAAATACGCTTCATATCAGTTGTCACAATGTCATAACCTAAACACATTACATAGATATGTGTCCACCTGTGGCTGTGGATCATTTCATTTGCCATGTCATCAAAAAGAAAAGTGCATTCTAGCAAAAGGGTCTTAACCTATATATTACCAGCAGCGGTATATCAACATTTGCGCCACATTTCACTTATGGTCGGTATTAAATTAAAGGATCAATACTCAAAAGGGGTTCTGACTTAAAATGTAGGTTAGAAGCGGGTCTCACTGGTTTAGGAGCTGAAACGGTGTTGCTATACAACATCTAAATCCTAAGGTACTTGCGAGTCTATAATCATCCTAAAACATGAAACAAGGATGATATTGCATACAGTGATTTCCATCTTCTGGTAGCTGAGGGGCTGGTGGAGTCAATAGTTTTGGATTCTGCTTCATGACATTCATGGAATTTGATATCTCACTCAGAGTCTGCTCTGTTGTAGACTTCCAATTAAACAGCTCCTGAAACATTTCCTGTCAACAAGGAGAATTTAAATGAGGCTTTGTTTACATCGTTACAGAAAACTTAAAATGTAAAAACTCAACATATCAAGTCCTCTATTAATCTGTTGTCATCATATCACCTGAAACACAACCAGATTGTCAAGATCCGACTTTGAATTTGCAGTAGCAGAAGAATCAGGGGTCAAATTAGTTTGATATTCCCTTTGCTTCTCCGGTACCAGCTCGAGCACATCTCTGTTTCTAGCAGCAAAATCACAACTCGTCTCAGCTTAGTCATAACAATTTTTTTATGGTTTAAGTTTTACTTTTTTTTTTGTTACCTCTCCATTTCGGCCATTTCTTCCTTGATTTTGCAAAAAAGGTCCTGGGATGAACCATCACCATGCTTTGATCTAAGCGGTAGGGCTAAATAGGGATCTTGGATTATAACTTCTTCCTCAGAATTAACAAGATTGTTGCTCTCAAACCATGGCACAAGTTCATTTCCCTGAAAACTGTCAAGGTTGGTGCTCTCTAGCCAATCCTCCCATTGCTCAGATTCTTCAGGCTTGGAGACAGTGTTTTGCTTTGGTCCTTGCATATCACTCAAAACATTTGTCATTTCCACTACCTGTTGCTTGACTTTGGTTTTCCATTTCATTAATTCCTCAAAATTGTCCTGTAGAAAAAGAAAAGAATATGAAATTTCATAACAACCAAGCTGCCACAAACATACGCGACACGAGTCACAACACATTCTTCTTGTCCAATAGTAATTGCATTTTGCAAAACATGAAAGAACAATTAACTGGCCTTTCCATTTTCGGTTTTATCTTCCAAGGAAACATACATTGAATCAGCGATGATAATCTACTGTTTACATACCTGCATACCCTTCCAAGAACCTAAGATAAAAGCAGCTCCTGGATATCACTTTTAATAAAAAGAGACAGATTATTTATCAGCACATATATCACTTACAAGTTTTTTTAAAAAGATTCTATATACCTCTTCATCGTATCTACTTCTGCCTTGAGTAGCTTCAGTTCTCCAGCAGAAACAGAATCGTCCAAGGGGCCACCACCTGGCATCAACCTCGATGATGGAATCCAGTAAGGATCATGCACCCTAGCCTCCCACCGAATGTTAGCCAGGTCAGCACTCTCCAAACAGTACTCCATTCTTCCACTGGTGTTGAACCACCGCCGAAACCGCTCGGTCCCACCTAGTGCCACTTTACCATCAAGATGCTTCAGTAAGTGATCAAGCAGCCCAGTATCACCAATCCGCTTACGAGCTGCCATCCTCAAATCTCTCCTGGAAATTGGGTTTCCAAAAGCTTCATCTTCAGCCTTCAAAATTTCCAGCATAGTTTGCTCTGCTCCCGTATACCTGCATATATACTTAATTTATTGTGATATCAAAATGCCCTACAAGCAAGGTAACCCACAAAAAGATGATCTAGGTTTTACCTTTCAACTTCGCATTGTTACACTCCTTTGTCATACCCTTAGAACTACTTGGCCTCTTCTTATAAAGTGATGCTTCCTCAACTCTTTCAATTCACTGCGGCTAAGGCACTTCCTCTTCTTGATCTCTGGTATCTCCAGAGGTTCAGTTTTCACAGCCTTCACTTCATGTGTTGAATTTTCTTCCTCACTGATGCTGGATGAAAGTTGAGTTTTATTTTCTTCGTGTCTTCCAAGGAAGACAATTCAGTGACGAGTGCCCCACTGTGCCATCTGGGTGTCTCCTAGCTGAAACCAGTACAATATCTCTGCGCTTTGCCAGTCACCTACAACTTCAGTGCACAACAGAATGATCTGAACAATTAAAAATCCAATTAAACTACAAGTTTCTAAGAAAAAGAAGTTGATTGGTGTGATTCTAAAATTCTAAACATGAATCAATTCTGTTCAACAAGAGCTAAGCTAGACAGCTTATTAGGCCTTCATCTACCGACTGTCTTCTGAAACTTATGGTCTGCGGATGGAAAAAGATATGGATGCAACTGATTACTTGATTCATTTATGGTGTAAATGCATGAACTTGGAAAAAGAAAAGCCACATTTCCTAGCAATTTAGATTCTGCAGCTGACAAACCATTTCTTTGACAGTAATCACCAAAACAATTGACCAAGTCCATTTCATTAGCTCCCAAAAAACACCCATTTAAGAGCTTGGCACAAATTAAACTCTGCAACTTACTACCCATGCGTTACATCTAGGAAACTTTAAAATATTCATTTTATTATAAGTAACCGCTATGCCTATCCCTCTATCTGAAAGCGCTATAGGTTCCATATCACAGATTAAGGGTATTACATTAATTAATGATGAAAGGGCAGTGCTTTATCCTCCGGCGCAACTGCGTTAGAGCATCATTCGTATTCGTATAATCAGGAACCACAAACAAATTACAAGATGCGTTATAATGGCAACTATATATCTGCAAATAACATAACAAAATAGAAACCGGGTTGGAAAATAACATCGAAACCATCCATTTTCAGGGTTTCTTTTTCTTTATTGTGGTAATTCAAAAATGGATTTCTCTTCTGTTTTGTCTTCGTTACCAAACACAACGTATGACAGATTCTAAGATATAAAAAATAAATAATAAAAAATTCAGAAATTTGTTATTTTGGGAAAACTATGATGTCAGATGGACGAACGAACAAAGAAGCCAGAGTCCGAGACAGAAAAGGGTGAAAAGGGTTTTTAGGAGACAATGTGCTCGGTTTACCATCCATCAATGAAAATGAAAACCTAAATTGCACATAAAAATAATAATAATCATGCATGAATGGTGAAACCCCCCACCAGTTCTTCATTTCGGTGTTCGCGCTGGGTGTCATCGCGAGGGAGAGAGAGGTTTGGTTTCGTTTACCTGAGTATTTTCGGGCAGAAATATGGAAGCAGGAGTTGGAGCTGAAGCAAGTGTGCAGTTGCCTCCTCAGCCCTCCCCGAAGAGGAATGCAAGCAAGAGGAATAAAAATTAGACAGAGCTTGGTTTTGGTCACTTCTCCTAAAACCCTAACCGCCAAATTCCCCTTCTATTCTTTCTAAATGGTAAACACCCACACATGACACGTGTTGTTTGTCCCACGCATAAATCGATGAAATGTATTTTTAAAGGGTAAATTACATAATACCCCTAAAGTTTGAGACCTATTACAACCTTATACAATATCTTTAAAACATTTTACTTTCATACCTCAAGTACTATTTTATTTCAATATAATACATTCGTTACATTTTCCATCCATTGGTATGTAAAGAGCTGATGTGGCTGCCACATTTGTACTGACGTGATTGCCACATCAAAAAAAATTTAAAATAATTAATATAAATTAAAAAATTAAAAAAATTAAAATAAAAAAAACGAAACACAGTTCATCTTCCCCACTCTCTCTCGATCGAACCCCAAACCCCCCAAAAACCCCAGGTCCAAAACCCAAAATTCCCAGATCCAAAATCCCCAGTTCTCGACCTTCAACCACTACGAGAATCTCATCCCGATTATCCACTCCCAAGCTCCCCAAACCACCATTTTCCACCACACCACCTCTCTTTCTCTCTCTTACCCAAGCCACTACCATTATTCATTTCATCAACCCAAAAGACAAGAGCCACCCTCACCTCACCACTCGAACAGATGCAGTGCGGCCACCCACCCATTTTATCTCAATCTAAAACCAAAGCCTCTCCTAACCCACCCTAGAATCCAATAGTTTCAAGGAATTGTAGAACCTCACAATTTCAAAAACCAAAAGCCCACTTCAAATTTCAGTCTTTTCTCTCTTCCTCTTCTGGGTTTTTTTTTTTTTTAATCAATTCTCACGATAGTCTGGATCCATCAACAAGTCCATCAAAGTCTGAAGCTTCTCTCTCTGCACCCTTCCTCCTTCCTTCACGCACCAATTGGTAATCAGCACCTAACGGGGAGACGGTGGGCGATTCGACCTGGAACTTAGGGAGTTGAGGAAGGAGGGCGAGCCAGGAGATGAAGAAGATGATGGACATGATGCAGCAGAGGGTGGTGGGTTTGCGCCTAACGGGAGGAAGTGCACAAGGACTCGGCATCATACACCACCACTGCCCTCCCATTTTTCTTTTGGAGAAGGATGGACATAAAGCTTTGAGGAGTCCATATATGCCTCTACGCCTGCACAAAGAAAAAGTGAAGAAAGATACAGCAACTGCCAAAGCCAAGGCAAAAGGGTTTTGCTTGTTGGGCTTTATAAATTTGGATTTAGGGTGGGGAAAGATGGTAGAAAACCACATGGCAGCAGTGCGGGGAAGGGGGCGATGGTGGTTTGGACGGGGAATGTATTTGGAGGCACAGTGGGGAGGGAAGTGGTTGCGGGTGATGGGGGATAGGGGAAAGGGTGGGTAATGGGGGGGTGGGAGGGTGGGGATTCTAGGGAAGGGGATCTAGGTTTTGTTTTGTCTTTTAAAAAAAAAATTTTAAAAAACTTTTCTTTAAATAAATTTTTAAAATTTTTATTAAATGTTTAGCCACGTGGCACAAATGTGGCAGCCACGTAAGCTTTTAGCAGATTAATGGATGGAAAATGTAATGGATGTATTATATTGAAATAAAATAGTACTTGAGGTATGAACATGAAATGTTTTAAAGATGTTGTATGGGGTTGTAATACACCTCAAACCTGAGGGGGTATTATGTAATTTACCCATTTTAAAAGAAATGGGTATAAAAGACACTGTAAAAGAGTTTGGTTAATTTTATTCTAAAAATAATATAATTGTAAATAATAACAACAGTGGACATGGTAGTGAGATGGTGGCGATGACGACAATGGCGAGGGCAGGAGTGGTAATGGTGGTGATGCTGGCGGTAGTGGTGAAGGAAATATTTGTGAAAACAAGTTTATTTAAGCAACATCTACAACATGCAATTAACAATTAAAGGCGGAATCATGCTTGTATGCACTCAAAAACAAAATTTTACCTATGAAATTCAAAGCCTAGTAGTTGGGTGAACCAAGACTCAACTCGAGAACAAAGTGAGTTGAGAAATATTATACCTTTGTTGATTTCTCTTTGCATAAGCAAAGGCTAATCACCCAAGAGATAGGGGCCTTCATTCCTTACTTCTTTGCTCCATGGATTTCTTGAAAGAGGATGGTGGAATGGATTCTCCAAGTTCCCAAGAAAAGGAACCTCTATGTCCCCACACCAAGGACAACACTGATGAGGAGATGAGTAACCTAGGAAGATTTAGATGCTAGTAAAACCTTCCTAGGGTGGCTGGCCTCTTAGAGAGAAAAGGGAGTTTATGTTCTCATCTTTTCTCCAAAAGAAACCCTAAAGATGAAATGGCTATAAAGTTGCCTTTATACCACCTCACAATGGAGTGGCAAACTTGTAATTAAGCCAAGTTCACTACACCTCTCTATATGGCCGGGCATTAAGGGTTCATTGGGCTTTCAAGCCCTTTGTGTTTTCAAGTTTTCATACAACTTGAGTTAATTGGCTTGACATTCAAATCCCATTGGGCCTTACGGCCCAAAACTAACCCGAGGTCTATAACGAACATATTCGTTTGATTATTTAACATATTAATTAATCCTAGCTATAAATAATTAAACCATTTAATTATCCTTACTCATCTCTGTTGTTTCTTCAATCTCTACCTTACTCGGTGTATGATCCATTAAGTTCCTTTTAGTGAGGCAATGGGCGATTGTTACTCTTAACGATCGATTGTGAATTGAAACATACTTTCAATTCTCCCTTTAGTGATTACTCACCTTTAGGGCTTCCACAAACCATGAGTGACACCTAGCAGTATGTCATGGCTAACCAAGCTAATCAGAAGAGGTGGAGAACCTATTCAGTTTAGGATTACAATGCAATATGGTCTTTCTCTAATACAATACTCTTTACCACATTGTTTTGGTTTGATAGTTTATTCATGTCTTCTATCCAATGTGATTCTCTTACTATATGATTACCTTGAATATGATTTGGAACGACTTCCTAAATCTCATTGATACTCTGACTAGAATTCTTAATCATATCATAGAGCATTCTCCCTTAAACGGTTTGAAGGTTAGAGATCCCTTGCTACGCATTCACTTGTCTCTATGGCTAAGTGGCTTAACCCCAACTATGTCGTGGACACCCTCTGATGGAGTGACTTTGACATAGTCAAAGATCAAGAACCTAACCACAAGACAACTATAATGCCTCAGGTCAAATGACTACTTTGCATTATCCCAACCATGAGTTCTCATGTGACATGAGTATGAGAACTCCCTGTTAATCGTGTTCAGTGGACTCATTCTCTACTGAGCACCTACATGTTTGTCTTGTGTCAGTCACACCAATGACTCGAGACCATTCACTTTCCCTAAGAGAAGACATAACACGTACTGATCTTAACGGACTATCAATGCCCAATTGGCAATCCTATGATCATGAACGTTTATGATATGTATACAAAAGAGAATGGTCTCATGAATCTAACTTCTTTAGATCACATTCTCCCAATTACATATTCCTTGAACTTATCATTTAAGCATATAACATTTATATGAGATGGCTTCAAACAATAATCTTTGCCCTTTATATTAAACTAGATTAGTTTAACATGTGAAATGTCTGTAAGGTATCATCATATGATTGGTTTTAGGACACATTTCCAACAATCTCCCATGCACTAGAGCCAATTAGCTTGGTCATTAGTGATGATACCTCTTCTGAATTCATTTCATAAATAGCTGAGTAGTAGGCCTACACAATGGATATCTATATGTTATCCATAGAAGCAACCTTGAGAATAACAACGTCACCATTATACATGATTCCCAATCATGTGGTTCAATCTCTCATTTAAGTTCAGATCTTGATGAGACCTTGATTCCTTGGCTTGAGCTATTTCCCCATTAGTGTCATAGTGTCGATACACTAGAGACACTTTCTGGTTGGAACCGAATGGAAAATTCATAAACTTTCCCATCCAAACAACATTGTTCTAAGCTTCTATATGGCGATATATTTTGCATGTATAATAGAACACGCTAAGTCACTGCTTATAACGTTTCCATCCAAATATCTCTTTTAGTCATAATAAAGAGATATCCAATTATCTCTTCATTCAAAATGAAGAGACATCCAATGACAGATACAATAGTATATTCATAATCTAATACATTTACGCTTCCATTGTGTTACTCTAATTCTTCCTCATTCTTGACAAATCTATCTTTTAGTGTTTCTTAAATACTTAAGGACTCACTTAACAATTGTCGTGGTTCTGATCCTGGGCTTGCACTGATATCATCTTGTACTGTTCTATGTATAACTCATATCAATGTTTTGTTGGAAATGTGCCCTAAAACCAATCATATGATGATACTTTACAGACATTTCACATGTTAAACTAATCTAGTTTAAAATAAAGGGTAAAGATTATTGTTTGAAGTCGTCTCATATAAATATTATATGCTTAAACGATGAGTCCAAGGAATATGTAATTGGGAGAATGTGATCTAAAGAAGTTAGATTCATGAGACCATTCTCTTTCGTATACATATCCTAGACGTTCCTGATCATAGGATTGCCAATTGGGCATTGACAGTTCGTTAAGATCAGTACGTGTTATGTCTTCTCTTAGAGAGAGTGATTGGTCTTGAGTCATTGGTGTGACTGACACCAAGACAAGCATGTAGGTGCTCAATAGAGAATGAGTCCACTGAACACAATCAACAAGGAGTTCTCATACTCATGTCACATGAGAACTCATGGTTGGGATAATGCAAAGTAGTCATTTGACTTGAGGCATCATAGTTGTCTTGTGGTTAGGTCCTTGATCTTTGACTATGTCAAAGTCACTCTATCAAAGGGTGTCCATGGCATAGTTGGGGTTAAGCCACTTAGCCATGAAGGCAAGTGAATGAGCAACAAGGGATCTCTAACCTTCAAATCGTTTGAGGGAGAATACTCTATGATATGATTAAAAATCTCTGGCCAGAGTATCAATGAGATTTAGGAA